TAAAGTTGGGTGTGTGAGCAATTGGTTGCAGCTCGGGGTTGATCACGACAGTAGAACATATTCTTCTTAACTGATCACTTGTTCTCACGATGACATCTTCTGGCGTTGTTTTAGAACTATTTAACATTTGCTCAAGGTCTTTCCCTGAAACACATATTAATTCATCAATCTGCTTACCAAAATAGCTCCATCTCACCTTTCCGTTTTCCTTTCCGACATTCGATTTCAGCTCATTATTTGCTATTCTTGGAAAGAACCTTCGCATTGAAGTGGGTTCAAACTGGGCACCGCATATTGTAGATACAACATCGGCAATTTTTACGTGTTGAGATATTGAATGATGCCTATTGAATGTGTAAGTTTTAAATTGCAATTTCATTAGCGAATAAATAAGTAACTCCTCAGGGCATAACGGCGTGCCTGATATAAAATAGTTCTCTAATCGTTCTGCGAAATTCGGTACCGGTGCTTTTTCAATACATTCAGCATGTTCTCGTGAATCTCCAGACAATCCGCCAATTGGAATATTACTTGAATGCTCCGCAACAGACATGGAACAATTGGTTCTGACAGAACTGCTAACCACCGTATTAACATCCAGCGACGCTAAACACGGTCGTTTCGGAGGACATTTAATAAATAAGTCACCATCAGAATTATCTATATATGGAATAAAAATAATTAAATGTAAATGACAAAACTCTGGATTTTTTATAGAGCCCTGCTTGGAATGGGACTCCAGTTACTATATTCTGGTCACTGTTGACAATTCCACGTGCGCAATCACATGAGCAATGCCATCATGCTTGCGCATGCTCAACGTGGTGTAATAATTTATAAAACAAAAACACGTTTCGACTTTCGAACGAAATACGTTCATAAAGCATCAAAAATGAATGGTTTATTCTAAAATGATGGATGAAAGTATTAAAAAGACATGCTTATTATATCTGGGTTATATTTTTTGGACATTAATTATGGGTGCCATGCATCAAGTGGCTTTCTTTCGAGTAGCCATGGAGTTTCTCGATCATGCAAAGTGAAGAAAATTTATATGCCTTGCGCTGTCGAATTATGGCTCATTCGAATATTAACATTTGGAAAGAAAGACACGGCAAGAGTTAAAATAAGAAACATGGGCTAGTTGAAACTCATTTGCAAATGAACACCAAAACGATTTACCTCTGGTCTGGGATGAACTATATGGAATGAGAGATTTATGTACTTAAAGTTTATGCCAAGTCAAGAGGGAAAATTGTAAAGAAAATGTGGTTTGTCTACAACAGCCTGAAAAGGTCAGTACACTTTTAAAGACATAAAGTGGTTGAAACCTCGGTTGAAACGGATATTTTTTCTACAGATACGGTTTCTCCTGCGAGTCTATAGCTTGGGACTATCTTTTAACGTCATAGAGAACTGAAAAAGATACAAGTCGAAACATTTTTTTCCGCGCTTCGTGTTTCATGAGTAGAAATCGCAGATAGTGCCGGTAAAAAACAAAAAAGCCGGTCTTCTTTTGTAGAAAAAACTATTTTAAATAACTTCAACAACAACTGTGCAAATTTTTAGGCGAAGTTTTTCACCTAGGAAAAAAGATACAAATCGAAACATTTTTTCCGCGGTTTGAGTTTTATGGCCCAACATGGCTACATTGACCTTGTCCTTTCGAGTGAGACCATGTTAAAACCAAGCCGAAAAGTTGTGATTTAACAAAAAAGCCGGTCTTCGTTTTAATAAAAATTGATTTTAAATAACTTTAACAACAACTGTGCAAAATTTCAGGCAAAGTTTTTCACCTAGGAAAAAAGATATAAATAAAAATATTTTTTTCCGCGGTTTGAGTTTCATGGCCAAACATGGCTACATTGACCTTGTCCTTTCGAGTGAGACCATTTTAAAACCAAGCCGAAAAGTTGTGTTTTAACAAAAAAGCCGGTCTTCGTTTTAATAAAAATTGATTTTCCATAACTTTATTAACAACTGTGCAAAATTTCAGGCAAAGTTTTTCACCTAGGTAAAAAGATACAAATAAAAAGATTTTTTCCGCGGTTTGAGTTTCATGGCCAAACATGGCTACATTGACCGGCAGGTACAAAACGCAGGTTGCAGGTTGCAGGTTGGAATTTTGCAGGTTGGGAATTTTGCAGGTTGGAATTTTGCAGGTTGGGGATTTTGCAGGTTGGAATTTTGCAGGTTGCCAGGAACTTTGCAGGTTGATAGTGCAAACTTAAAATTACACCACTTTTTTAGTATTCTAGTATAACTTAGTTGTGCATTTATTGCAGTCTGACTCCTTGTCGGCGCTTTTGATATCAGCCTACCCTGCTGCCATGTTCCTAGCCTCTGCTCTAAGGCTAGTGGCCATCACCCCCGTAATAACATTCAAAATGACCAGATTGGCTTGGACCTACAGGGAGACGAATGTTTTGATTGTTGCGAGGTGCCTACATGACGTGGCGGCGTTTATACTAGAATGTTGTTAAAAGTTAACTAACTCTCGAGTAATGATACGGTAATTGGGGGCTTGAGTGGACTTCTCATAAGTGGGTGCAGAGGAGAGACACCTCATTCAGGCATTTTCTGAACTGCCACCACGTCATGTAGGCTCCTCGCAACAATCGAAACATCCGTCCCCCTGAAGGTCCAAGCCAATCTGGTCATTTTGAATGTTTTCACAAGGGTGATGGCCACTCCTTAGAGCAAAAGCTAGGAACATTGTAGCAGGATAGGTTGATATCAAAAGCGCTGACAAGGAGTCAGACTGCAATAAGTACACAATTAAATTATACTAGAATACTTTATAGTGGTGTAATTTTAAGTTTGCATCATCAACCTGCAAAATTCCTGGCAACCTGCAAAATTCCAACCTGCAAAATCCCCAACCTGCAAAATTCCAACCTGCAAAATTCCCAACCTGCAAAATTCCAACCTGCAACCTGCAACCTGCGTTTTGTACCTGCCGGTAAACTTGTCAAGAAAACCTTGTTGACTGTACACACGAGAAGGTAAACTTGTCAAGAAAACCTTATTGACTGTACACACGAGAAGGTAAACTTGTCAAGAAAACCTTGTTGACTGTACACACGAGAAGGTAAACTTGTCAAGAAACCTTGTTGACTGTACACACGAGAAGGTAAACTTGTCAAGAAAACCTTGTTGACTGTACACACGAGAAGGTAAACTTGTCAAGGAAACCTTGTTGACTATACACACGAGAAGGTAGACTTGTCAAGAAACCTTGTTGACTGTAGACACGAGAAGGTAAACTTGTCAAGAAAACCTTGTTGACTATACACACGAGAAGGTAAACTTGTCAAGAAAACCTTGTTGACTGTACACAAGAGAAGGTAAACTTGTCAAGAAAACCTTGTTGACTGTACACACGAGAAGGTAAACTTGTCAAGAAAACCTTATTGACTGTACACACGAGAAGGTAAACTTGTCAAGAAAACCTTGTTGACTGTACACACGAGAAGGTAAACTTGTCAAGAAACCTTGTTGACTGTACACACGAGAAGGTAAACTTGTCAAGAAAACCTTGTTGACTGTACACACGAGAAGGTAAACTTGTCAAGGAAACCTTGTTGACTATACACACGAGAAGGTAGACTTGTCAAGAAACCTTGTTGACTGTACACACGAGAAGGTAAACTTGTCAAGAAAACCTTGTTAACTGTACACACGAGAAGGTAAACTTGTCAAGGAAACCTTGTTGACTATACACACGAGAAGGTAGACTTGTCAAGAAACCTTGTTGACTGTACACACGAGAAGGTAAATTTGTCAAGGAAAACTTTCTCGTCTGTACTGCGGGCTTAAAGGCCCATTTCTACTCAGGAAAATGTTCCGCAGAAAGAAAATTTTGTAAAATGTGATTGGCCAACGCACATTTTCCGACGGAAAAAAATTTTGAAGTTGAAAATTTTCAACTTTTTTTTGAAAATTTTCATGAGTGGAAATGGGCCTAAAGGGCGATCGTTGCAATACAAGTTAAACATTTCCGTTCAACACAATTCCAGAGTATTCACACCAGTTCCTGGCAGAATTCAACTGGTCGAAAGCCAACAAGGGGAAAACAGGTAAGAGCATGGAACGAAGATACTTGGCCACTTTTATCTATTGCTACGTGCAAAGACTTACACTTTTTGTAAATGTTTGTTTTCAGACAAGATGTGATCAAAGCATTGAACGAGGCCGTTGATAAATACGAAGAAGGATTAGTTATAAAATCACCATTGTCAATATACCAACCAAATGTTAGAAATGGTAGGTCGTCCTTCGCAAGGGTTGGTATGGTATATGGTATGGTATATGGTATGGTATATAGTATGGTATATGATATGGTATATGATATGGTATATGATATGGTATATGATATGGTATATGGTATGGTATATGTTATGGTATGGTATGGTATGGTATGTATGGTAAGGTAGGATAAGATGAGGTAAGATATCCATGGTATGATAGGATAAGTTGCGGTACTGTGTGGTATGGTGTGGTATGAAAAAATCATTTTGTTTTAATAAGGATCTTTCAAACTAGCATTATTGTCAAGAAACTTCTTGTTTTTTCTAGGCAGTGGATGGCTTAAAATAAAACCTGAATATGTCGATGGTTTAACAGACGAGGTAAAGTTGAGTGATCTGTTTTCCCCGTTCTCCTGAGATAGATTTTTTTTTTAATTTCATCTTTTGTTTTTCACAGTTGGACGTCATAATTCTAGGAGGATATTTCGGGAGCGGGGTAAGGTTTAATGTAGTGTTGGGTTGCATTCACTGTGTGAGAAAACTATATATAGTACAGCACTTTGACACAGAATACACAGAAGGCCATCCCGTTTGCGTAAGTGCTATTCGTCATGATTCGTCACTCAGCAAGTACCCTAAACAGAAGTAGTCACCCCCCTGGAAATATCCGTGGCTTTCTCCCACACAGTGCCATTTTGGATATTTCCAGGGGGTGACTACTTCTGTTTAGGGTCCTTACTGAGTGACGAATCATGACGAATAGAGCTTACGCAAAAAAACAATAGAGATGGCCTTCCGTGTAGTATTCTGTGACTCCGAGTTCTCTGGCCGTGAATAGGAATCAGACAAGCACTTCCCCATATTCAAGGAGCTCAAAAACCTCCAAACGAGACTTGTCGACAGAATGGGGTTGTTGTTTTAGGCTCGAGGTGGTATGGTGTCACATTTTTTATGTGGTGTAGCAGCTCCACCATCATCTCCTGGTGAGAAACCCAGCAAGTTCTACTCATTCTGTAAGGTATGATATGGTAAGGTAGGGTATGACATGTGCGGTATGCTATGGTGTTGTGTTGTGTGGGATGGTATGTGGTATCATTGGACTGGTTGGTTTGATGTAGTATGGTATAATTTGGCCATAGGCGTATCATGATAAGATATGATATGGTTATGTAAACAACTCCTTTTAATTCATAGCAACATTTGACATGTCAGTCACTCTATAATCAACCAATGCAAATAGATGAACAATGATTAAATGTCCATAGGTTGGGTCAGGATACTCCATCAATGAATTGAAAGAACT